TGTTATATTTCTTAGGGCCTTGCTAAGTTGCTGTGCTTTGAACTTCTGATCCTCCTTCCTCAGCCTCTCAAGATGCTTGCGATTAATAGGTGTGCACTACTGTACCAGGCTCCAGTTGAATTTTTTGAGCTTAAATTTTGATAATTCTTTTGTGGATACTTGTCTTTTATTGATATGTGAATTATAATTATGTTTTCCCAGACAGACGCATATCTTTTATCACCTTTCACAGAACAAAAGTTTCAGTTTTGATATGTTTGTTTTATAATTAATAAATATTAATTATCAATTACAGGTATATTCAGAGAGATAGTCACAGGTTTTCAAATAGGATTTTACCTTAGGATGGAAATATATTTAAAAAAAAACCTGCACTGCTAACAAATAGCTAATATTAATTGAGTGCTTTCTATGTCCCGCCCCCCGCCCCATATGAGGCTGCTGTTCTTATTATAGCCACCTCACATGGTGAAGTAAGAGTGTACCCAGGCAAGCCTTCCAGAGGCACATAGCAAAGGTAATGATAGCAAAGGGTGATGCCTTACATTATTTGTGTTCACTTCGGAGAGAAGGTGGGGGATGGAGCAGAGAATGCTTAGATTTCTCGGTAGATCTATTATTTGACTAACAGAATGTAAGTATTCTCAGGAGTTATTCAGCATTTCTTGAGAAAATAGTGAGTAGGCAATTAGATGCATGCTTTTCCCTGTGAAGTAACTATCCTCTATCAGACCGAAAATTCAATATCTCTCAAATAATTCTGCCCCAGGAATAACCATGGTATTCTAGTGAACTCGGAAAAGATCTCCATTTTCTAGTATCCAGAATACTATGATTCTTTTACAGGTGTAAGTGGGATGGAACTTTTTGGTATATTCTCTCTCTCTCTTTTTTTTTTTTTTTTTGTAAATATGTTTTCAGTGGCCAGTTTCTATAACTTTCACAATCCCAGAAGCTAAAGGATTTGTTTTGTACTTAAATTTTTAAAGATAGCAACAACAAAAATAATATTTAGAAGACTTTGATGTTATTTATATACCTATTTTGAGGACTTGAAATTAATCATCCAAATTTTAATGTCCACAGTATATCTTCTTCCTCACATGAATCTTTGCTGTTCCTCTTTTCTAAAGCTCTCACCTTTATAATGCTCATTCTGTCAAAATTTAAAAGACCTATTGAGCTTACTAAAAATTCAAATTTGAAAGATTATAAAAATATGCAGTGGTTAAAAATAATTTCTTCAATTTTTTATTGTAAAATTACTTAAGAATAAAAAAAAAATACTGATGCTTAGGGCCAGTCCAAAACAGTTAAATTGTAATTTCTAGAAGTGGGACCCAAGGATCAATATATATGAATGGTTTTATTATAATTATAATTCACAGATAAAGATGAAACTTTTGAAGTAAAATTTGGTATGTGATGGAAAATATTTGGTGTTGCTATCTTTAGAAAGCCTCAATTTTAAATAAAAATACATTTTAAATTTAATTCCATAGTACATTTTATATTGATCTGACTTTGAATCACTTACAAAATGAATTAGCCACATAAAATGAAGTCTTAATTCTTAATTGTAACACAATTTAAGGTGTTTTTAGTAACATGGGTTATATAGCTAAATTATCTGATTTAAAACCATTACGTAAATATTTCTTATATAAATTTGTAAGTTATTTCAGTTACAAGATAAACTACATAATGTTAACAAATTGAATGGTCTAAAAAATGTTCAAATAAAATAATATATTATTATTATTATTAATAGTATATATTAAAATAGTCTTTGGCTTAAAGTAAGGAATTTAAAACTTAAAGCATATGGATTAAATATATTTTTATGAGAATACTAAAATGGGTTTACAAAGTAATTTGCCTTTTAATAAAGACTTTTCAATTTAGATGATGACTTCTTTCTTGTTTCATTCAGTTATTACATTGCTTTATCTGTATATCCTTATCTCATAATCAGATTCAGATGATTTTAAAAATTAATAAATATGTCTTGAAGAATAAGATTATATTACTACTGGTATATTCTTCATATAGGTCCTATAATCATTTGTAAGATTTTTAAATCTCAATCACTCTAAGGCCCTCTCTCATAGAATTATACTTCTTTGCACAGGATCAAGGGAATTTTTAGAAATTTGCTCACATTTGACCTATTTTCTCATGGCTATTGAATTAACATTTTAACATGGCTGAGTAGTTCCAATTTGCATTAAAGAACAATTAGTCCACTGCTTTGTGATTTATCTTTTGAAATATTAGCACAACAGAGATCTGATCCAGAATTATTTTAATATATGTTCAGTTAATTCTTCAGTATTGATGGGACTGAGTGTATGATATTAACAAGGTCAAAAATTTAAAAATATTTAAATCAATAAACTTTATAAGTATGTGCTTTTAAACATGCATATATCAACTAATATAAAGTACATTTTTATCAATTTCTTAAATTTATAGTAGGCTTTGTGGAGGATTTCAATTCTATTTTATAATCTAGGGAATAAATGTACTCAAGAATATTTATAGGTAAAGTAATATATTTAACAGGAGAAACTATATGGGGTTCTAGGTAACACTTATCTCACGCACATATAGATTAATATAGAAACTTCAGATGTGTTTATTTTGTGAATTACAAAACTACTGTTCTAAAACTATTCACTCTTCTAATTGATGTAGAAATTCAAGCCATACTAGGTGGACCGATTGAATTTCTGCTGTTTCTTTTCTAATTGTCACAGTTTCTGGTTACAAGTAGTCCTTCAAAATTTCAGTTGTGAGCATAACTCTGCTAGGGAGAACTCCTTGAGATAATTTATAATTTCATAATGAACTTAATTAAATAATCTATTTACTCTATGCTCATGAACTGTATTTTCTCTTCTAGGTATCACACTAGACAGTGAAAATAATAAACTGACTTTGTCACAGCCACTTTCCTGTGTGCATTTGTAGTCCAAAAGCAAAGCAGTTGAGTAATAGGCCTGGGCGATCTCTGACCCAATCTCTGTAACTTCCCTGTTCTGTTTAATTCTGCTTTAATATAACATGAGTTAGAGAAGAGAAACTGCAGGGTATTAGGTGGATGATAAGGTTCTGACACTGTAGGTTAATTTGGAGTGAGATATGAATGCACACTGTCTTCTGAAAAAGAGGTTAATGTAACTTAAACAAATGTATTCCCTAAGAAAGGTTAGACAAGAATATTAATTTAAATAATCCAGCTGAAAGAATATAATAGATAAGCTTATCAAAGTCAGGGGTAAAGCTTAAAGTATAAAAGCAATTCCTCTATAACGACTAGCGATGGGTCACAAATCTGACTCTTTGGTTTCTTTGCAGCAAAAGCAAAGAGAGAAATATGGCCAGTTAAAATTTTATATTTTGCACATATGGTTTTTCCTGGCATGGAGCCCTGAAAGAAATTTCTCCCAGGGGTCCTTGGATAAAGAGGTCACCATATAATATACTGCTTTCCGACACTGTATCCTGGGAAGTCTAACAGGTTTCCTTATGTCTACTTCTTACAACATCTTTCATTCAAACCAAAGGCACCGTGCCAAAGCCCAATTCAGCAAAGAACATCAAGGAGGGACAAAAACACAGAAATCGGAAAATGCAGTTGTCTCATGGTTTAGCTTGATTGAGAGGTACAATTTATAATACCCATGGGCATAGATAAACCACGTAATTTTAAAGGAATTTTCTATAAATAAATATGTTCATTCAACTCCTGGCAAAATTTGGCAACAGATATGTATGATAGGTCAAGATCATTGTACTGTCATGTGTAACTAATTAAAACAAAAATATTATATATATATATATATATATATATATTAATCTGTAATACATATATTCCATATTTCTGACAAAAGATGAAGTTGTGATCATGGCTATTAGACAACTAAGCCAAAGACAAAACCAGTTGCTTCTTAGAAAATTTAGTGATCTGAATTTGGATTTATCTGCTACATGAAAGGGTGCATCGAGGTGTTTTAGGTAATTGCAGAATAACTAAACTTTCCCTCATAAAATTGAATGTTAAAGGTTTTCACCCTCATGGTATTACATCAAGCAATATGACGATGGTAATTTTTATTTGATTTTATTTCCTTAGTATTTCCTTAGTAATTAAATTCAATTTCCCTCTCTCGTCATTGAAAAAATATCTAAAATCTATATCCCTGCAATTTCTAATTATATGCATTGTGATTTTTTTCTGGTGAAACTTCTAGTCTTCTATTAGCAAAGCTTATCATAAATCAGGAAATAAGTGAAATAGTCTATAAAATTGTTGGATTATTTCTACTGTTTAAAACTGGTTGGGTAAATCAGTGCCACTCTGATTTGCAACTCTCCGTAGATAGGAATTAATTAGGCTATGTTTGCACATCTCTGGGTGCAATTGAACCTATGTGGTTTTCTCCAGTCTTCTTTACTTCCTTCCTCTCTTTCCTTTTAATTTTTTAAGGAAAGCTATCATTTGTGCTTTCTTCACTTTATCCTTTGAGTGAGTGCCAAGGAACTTCTTGTTGGTTTTATGCCTAGGTACTGGTCCACATGTGCTTTTACAGAGTAGTTCTGGGTCACAGAGGCCTACATGGAACCACAGAGATATTGTTATAATGTGGATTGTGATCTTGGTGAGCATGCCAATAATACTGTAGATATGTCCTGAGAATATAGATTTCTTAACTGCTTTTGGTACTATTCTCTTATCTTTAATATGGAGCTGTCAGTCCTCTCAGTGTCACAAAACTTCTCTGATAATCAATAGACATACGGGTTAGGGGCTTATAAAATTATCTTTTTCATCCAATTAAGACAGTATAGCACTATTTTCCTATTAGCCAAGTTTTAATTTTAAGGCAAATATCTGAGCTTTCAACTCATTTCTTCCCCACAAATCCAGTGGTGCTCAGTGAATATTGCTATTCAAGTGATTGCTATTATGTTTAAGTTGTATAATTTAATTACAGGTCTATCGATAGACTATGTGGAAAACAAGCTTTATTGGATCAGTTCGGGAAATGGAACCATAAATAGATGCAACCTGGATGGTGGTAATTTAGAAGTAATAGAGTCAATGAAAGAAGAATTAACAAAAGCTACAGCCTTAACTATCATGGGTAAGTGTAATGATTCTATAGCTAGGATGCTTCTTATTGATTGGAGGTTGATTAATTGTGACCTATTAAAAGCTTGGGAAAGTTACTGCTGCATTAACACCAAAAACACATTAAATTGCACATCTTTATGAGAAGTTCTTTTTTTTTTTTTTTTTTTTTTTTTTAGCTTTAGAAAACAGACTCGTAAGTCTACCCAGATTAGGAATTTATTGCTGCTAGCAATACTAACTTTTTACCATGATTGGTTCTTGCCTTACTGTGACTGGTACTTTTTGATGGTTCTTTTCTGGCTGTATTGCAGTGTTTTGAAGAGTAAGAGTAAGCATTTTCATCATAGTACAGTCAAATTTGCTTCATTTCTGTTTTTAAAGCATAGATTCATCCACATAGATAATTTGAAAAATAAGGGAACAGGATCAATTTGGCCAATGAAAGTAAGTTAATGAAATTATTCTCTCAACCCAATAATTCATCCTTAACTTTAGAAATGAACAGAGAGGTTTTACTGATTTCATTTTCATTCCGGTGCCTTTTGTTCAGTTTTCAGGAAATAAAGGGGTCTGGAATATAAGTGATCAGGAATCTAAAAGAGAGGAATGTTTTCCTAAGAACAAATAAAGAACTTCTACCATATTGTATGGGAAACCAGTTTTTGAAATGTAAACTTTAAAAAATAATAATAATTTGCATTTTTAAAAACATATACAAGTGAATACCAATAAGAAATACTCTTTGGTGAGGATGGCTCTGTTTTTGGAAGGCTTTCAGCTAAAGTTCATGGTGAGTCAGCTATGAAGATTAATATTTTATATAAATATCAATAGTTACATTTTGTTACAGGATATCAGAAAAATTTCTTTATATTTGCAATTTCTAATGTTGTGATATAATCAGGATAACTTATACTACTATGAAAAGTCAGTTCTAATATATTTTTAAAGTTTATTTATATAGATAAGAAATTAGATCTTTTAATTTTATATATCCTATAATCTGTAATTTTAGTCCTTTGACAATTTCCCAGATTTAAAATGAGCTTTTTTTGGGAGGTAGGTTGGGTAACTAGAGATTGAACTCAGAGCACTAAACTACTAAGCTACATCCCCAGCCCTATTTTGTATTTTATTTAAAGACCAGGTCTCACTGAGTTTCTTAGCACCTTGCAGTTGCTAAGGCTGGCTTTGAACTCATGATCCTCTTGTCTCAGCCTCCCAGCCACTGGGATTACAGGGATATGCCACTGCACCAGACTAATATATGCTTTTTTTTTTTTTTGGTAACAATTTTCATTAGTATATGTTTATGAGTAACTAGTTATTAATGGAAAAGTGTGAAAATTCATTTTCATAATCATTAACAATATCTGGCCAAAAGTAAAAAAAAAAAGTTTAGATTAAAAAGATTACATATCTTACACAAAAATTTGTGTAAGAAAGAATGAGTCTCCTTTTTTATTTTGAAGGAGAGAAAATGTATATATTAGCTAACCATTAATGGCTCAAGTGATCTCTATGTCATTTTTATAATTGGGATGTACAGATATTAACTATGTGTGCCCAGGATACAAAGTTGTGAGAATTGCTTGTGAGATGTAGGTGGAAATACTTTTTTAAAAGTTTAGTTCTGTGCAAATGTATGATTTGAAATGTTACGCCCCTTGGTTCAATCTGTTAAGCCCTCTCCAATTGTATCTCAGTGGACATTTTCAGATGTGAGATGTGATGCTGCAGCAGCTGTTTCAGTGCCTTTTTTTGTTGTTGTAGTTTTTTCTAAATTGCTCTTCAGCTCTCAGTTTTATGAAGTTTTTCTTTTCAGTTTCTTAGAACCTAAATTTTTTAAAAATAGTTTTTTCTCCTCTAGATGAGAAACTGACGTGCATAAATCAAATCAATTTAATTAATTTATTTTTAAAAAATATTTATATTTTTTAGTTGTAGTTGGACACAACACCTTGATTTCACTTGTTTATTTTTGTATGTGGTGCTGAGGATCAAACCCAGGGTCTCGCAGGTGCGAGGCGAACACTCTACTGCTGAGCCACAACCTCAGCCCCAATTTAATTTATTTTTATTTTTAGTCTTTGGGCAATTCCTATGCCGTTCATTTAGCAACATGTTGACATTCTTCTCATGTGTGTGTCCAGAAGCTACATACACACACACACACACACACACACACACACACACAGACATACACAAACACACATACACACACACATTGTAACTGATAGTTGTGTTATTTTAGAGTAATAGTGTATTTAGAACTGTTCTTTAACATCTATAATACTATGTTAAAATTATGTTTGTATTTCATTCAGCTTTGCCAAATTAACAAGAACATTTATTTTATGTGTATTTTTGCATATCTTAAACCACTTGAATAAAAATAAACAGATTAAACTAAAAAAGTGGTTGAATAATCACATTATGTTTTCAAAAATTGAATTCCATTATACTTTTTGAAATCAACCCAAAATAGCTAACAATCTAAAATAACCCAGTAAATTACAGGAAACCTGTTAAAAGTCAGACAAAACATTTCAAGGATATTCGTTGAATTTTAGTGAATATGTGTATATTATATATGGTGTGCAATATATAGAATTTATATATGGAAGTGTATAATAAAAATATCTATAAAAACCATGACCTTGAAGAAAAATTTAAGACTTTATTAAGGCATATGAATGCTAAGACCCTGTTCTAATGAGGAAGTGAATGCTAACTTTACAGAACTTAATGATATGAATAGTTTCAAAAATGGATCAGGGAGTCCTTTTCAGCAAAAAAAAGAAAGTCAGATGTTTTTGCACACTGTCAGAATGGAAGAAAGTCTGAGTGAAATCATAATGTATATATATAATGTGTCAATGTTTTTGAATCTGATACAGCATCAGCTGTTCATGGGAACCTGCTTTTGTACAATTTAAAATCTATAACAAGTACATGGTTATATATACATACTTCCCTAGGCCACCACAATGTAATTAAACCTAAAAATGAAAATAAATACAAAAAAAAAAACCTATGAAGGCCTGTACTGCCAACATACTACCTGGATATGTCAAATACTTCTAGCAGTTCAGGTGTTTAAAATATAGAGAACACAACCAAAGAGAGATAAGGCAGGAATCTCTGTGAAGTTTCCTGGCAAACTCTGAACTCTCTTTTCTGTTCAGACTTCCTTTCCTTTACTCTGAAACTTTACTCTTTCTCTTTGAGAATGGAAGAAAAGGGTGATGACTGCTTCCTGCTGAGGATGAATATTATGGCCACAAAAAGGCAATAAAAAAGTAAAACAGAGCAACCTCGCACTATCCATGGGATTACTGATGATTGCAGTTACAAATGTTTAAAAAAAATTGCCTAGAGTGCTACTGAAATTATATATCCAGAAAACAAAAAAATAATTGTGCTCTGAAGGGATTCCTACATATAAGTGTATGACAGCTTCCCAGAGACACTAGATAAGCAATGGATAACAAACAACTGGGAATTGGTGTTTCACTAAAATTTAAGAGAGCTTTTCCTAAAACTAATGGAGAAATGTCTTAATACAATTTTAATCAATTATTAATCTTTGATGATTATGAATTGTAATGCTTGGGGTTCCCAGTTTTCTTGAAATAGTAAAATCGAAATAAATGAAAAGAATTTTGAAATTTTAAAGTTAGAGAAAGTAGAAGGTAATGCCCAGGCAATACCCAGATCAAAATAAAGCAATTAATTGATGATCCCATCAATCCTCAAACCCCAAGAATGAGATCATTTCAAAAATGCTTTTATATTTCTCCCCTCAAGAAGTAGAGCTTCATTTCCCTCCTATTAAGTGTGGGTTGGACTTAATGACTCCTTTTTAATAAACAGAATGAGGTAAAAGGAATAATGTGTAACTGTGGAGACAAGGTCATAAAAGGCAGAAGACTTCTTGCCCTCCTTCTTGGATCACTCACTCTGAGCAAAGCCAGCTGTCACGTTATGGGGACTACCACGAAACTCAATAGGGAAGCACACACAGCAAGAAACAAGATCTCCAGCCAACCCCAAGTCAGTCAGTCATTTCAAACCAGGAATCCTAGTCCTGGTCAGGATTTCAAAGGACTAAAACGAAAGGCAGTAAGATCAATTGCACCTCAAAGGAAACTCCGAACAAGAACCACCTACATAACTATCCCAGATTTCTGACTCTTAGAGAAATCATGTGAGAAAACAAATACTTATTGTTTTAAGATGCTAAGCTTTAGGGTAATTTGTTATATAGCAATAAATAACTAATTAATATATTACTCCATCCCCAGAGTGCTCATTTGTGAACAATCTTAAATATGAATGCTTAGTAAAGTCAGGCAGATTGTAAATATGTGAGTTCAGTCAGAGTAACATGAGGGTGAGGGAGAATGGAGTGCAGGCTTCAATAGCTGGACTCACTCTGGAGGGGTGGGAAGTGTGATAAATAGAGACGACAAGTGCCCCATGTGAGGTAGAAAACCTCTCAGCTCCACTCATTTTTACTCTAAAGAACATAAATCTTTTGTGACAAATACTTCATTAAAAGAAAAGCAAGCAACCCAGACTTTCATTTAAAAACTCACAACTTTTAAAGGTTAGAAAGTGATCATTTCTTTTTAGAAAACCACCACACAGGCTAACACACTGTATAGGCTGACTACGATGGCCAACAGTGTACAAGCCAAGACAACTGCTACCACAACTCCCTGTTGTTCATTTGGTCCTTAAACCAGTTGCCACCTCCAATTTGCTCATCCTTTATATGGTGATATTGAATTGTTGAGAGAAGAAAAGTTAAGATGGCCAATACCTAGCTGTGCCATTGCAAGGGATTTGGGGAGGGGGGGGCAGGGATTAAAACATCACTTGGGAGCCTGCAGCAGGGCCCCGGAGATCCAGGCCAACTGATTCGCGTGGCCTGCCCTGCGGCTACAGAAGGCGTGGCGCCTCAGTGAAGCCATTAATTAGCAAGCAGGGAGGTTAGGGAAGGCC